GAGTCAAAGCTTTGTACAGATTTTTAAGGAAAAGTACTAAATAAAGCTTTGACAGATCTTGCCAGAGCATTATCTTTGATGATGTATCTGCTTTTTCAGATCAGGGAAAGGCTGAAGATCGAAGGTGCTTGCATTTCAGTAAAGCGTACTTTAATAATAACTAAATAGCACTAGAAAAACTGCAGGTTAGAACAAGGACTGTTAAGTAGGTGAGGAAATGGTTGCAAGAATGCTGATGAGGACTAAAACCAGGCTGGATCTAGGTTACTGGGGGGATGCACAAATTCACCGAGACTAGTCCTTGCCAGTGTTTTCCCCAGTGACCCCATTGTAGGAGCAAGTGTGACCTGCAGGGAGGTGCTGTCCACCAGGGGATGGATCCAACTGCCACTTCCAGAGAACTGGACTTGAGCAACATGAGTGGAACTGTTGCAGCTTTGTGAACTTAGGAAATAGCAAAAGGAAATTGGATTGTTATCAGTGCATTTATCTGCCAGAAATGAGAACAAAAAGAAAACCTTGGTTTGTTAGTCAATCTGAGATTGAGTCAGTCCCTCTGAGCCAGCAATGTGTGGCAGCTGCTTACAAAATCCTGTGATTGTGGTACGTGAGAAGTGATAATTCCATTACAGGTGGAGATGCATTGGTCCCACATGTACAAGGGATTAATGTAGGCAGACGCTGCTGTCACCTGAGGGCTGGACAGGTAAAAGGAAATAGAAGTGTTGTGCTCTTGTGTGAGCATGTGTGTCCTGTGACCAAGAGCATCCATTTCGCTTGGTAAAAGTCAGATGACTTTAAACATTTTGGGGGAGTGACAACATCTGTTAATCCAGGACTTCATGTGCTATGTAAATATATCAGAAAATTGCTTGTGATGTCTCTTAAAAGTATGAGTTTTGAGTCTACATTTACTCAGTTTCTATTTCACAGAGTGCTTTTTTTTAGAGTTCGTTAGTACAAAATTATGTATAGCATTACTCCTGAAAATTTCAAGAAAATATTACACGTCCTTTAAACGGATAATTTCAAGTATTCAAATGGAGTGGCTTAATTCTCAAAAACTTGATATTCTTTTATCATTTTGCCTGCCCTCAAATTTAAATTTCACATCTTGAGTAATCCAAGTGAATTCATAGAATCATAGAATGGTTAGAATTGGAAGGGACCTTAAAGACCACCTAGTTCCAACCCCCCTGCCATGGGCAGGGACACCTCCCACTAGAGCAGGTTGCTCAAAGCCCCATCCAGCCTTGAACACTTCCAGGGATGGGGCATCCACAACTTCTCTGGGCAATTTGTTCCAGTGCCTCACCACCCTCAGAGTGAAAAATTTCTTCCTGATATCTAATCTAAATCTCCCCTCTTCCAGTCTGAAGCCATTCCCCCTCATCCTATCACTACATGCCCTTGTAAAAAGCCCCTCTCCAGCTTTCTTGTAGGCGCCCTTCAGATACTGGAAAGCTGCTGTTGTTTGCTAACAGTTCACACTGAGTAATATGTTTGCCCAAAATTATTTTAATTCATTTTAATTGACAAATAACCTTGCAGTCATTTAATAAGCATCATCTTTACCGCATTATCCAAATTATTAATAAAAATACTGATGATACTGAATCTGAAAGATACTGAGCTGTAACAAATACATCTTTCCTGTATGGTAGACTGATTCGTATCTTCGTGGGTACTCACTAATCATATAGAAATTTCATAAAGATCATGTTTCCTTTGTTTGCTTATGAGAATTTCTTTAGAGATAGTGTCTGAAGCCTGTTTCCCCCTCCTACACCCTGTCCCCCAGTGCTGTCAGTGTGTCACAGAAGAAAGTCGAATTACTTCTATTTCAGTCATTCTCAGATGAATCTGTGCAGACTGTTACTTACCGCTGCGTTGTCTTCTGGGTGCTTGCAAACAGATTCTTCGGTGGGTGATTCCAATATTTTTCCAAATATTGAAAACAGGCTTAGTGATGTACTATTTTCCAATGCCTCCCTTTCCACTCTCTTAAGAGACAGGCACCACGTTTGCTCTTTTCCAATCTTCTGAATAAAATTCCTCTGTCCTCCACGAATTTCCCAAAAGAATCACCTGCAGCTCTAGAATTGTTTCAGACAAGTTCTAGAAGCTAAAAGATAACATAAGAACCTCTAATTAATATTACTCGAGGGAGTGTGTCTTAGCTGGTCCAGACCATGTGTGATCACTGCTCCATTTGTTCCTGATTTCTCCTGCTGAGTGAGGATTTTCCACTTCCTATGGACTAGTTAAATGTTCATTGGGTTTACTGATAGCAGGAGCTTGTGGTTAAGCTAGCGGCAAAGGTCTACTGACCTAGGAAATGGAACAGCAAGGTTATACAGTACTCGCTTCACTAGTTCTTTTTGCAGCACAGCAGGATGCATGAATGGTTTCTTCATTGTAGCTCAGATCTGAGTTTGTCTGATTCGTGTGGATTCATAGAAGTCTGTATGTTAGCACAGATTGGGGATGACAGATTAAGGATATTGTTATCCATGAAAGCTTCATTAGCACGAACATCCTCATCGTACAATGTATAACTTACTGTAAGTGTAGGTGTAGCTTTAATAGTAAGGAAATGATAATCAGATGACAGAACACAGCAAACCAATCATTCTTAATCTAGCTATACTGCAAAAGAGGAATGGGGAAAATTCAGGTCACTGTTTTAGCAAGGATTTTTACAGCATTTACCATAATTCTCCTCCTAATCAACACAAACCAAGTAATGTTACTGCTATGAAGCAGACTTTGTTTATATCTATTTTCTAGAACATTATTCATATTAGATATAAATTATCCTCTTTTGGATGCACAGGAGAAGAGTAAGATGGCTCAGTGCAATGAAGAGCAGCAAGTCCCACATCTGCCATATATTTTATCTGTAGTTGGATAATTTCTTATCATTTTATTCTGAGTATTTTGATTTCAACAGAATTTATTTATGCTTATCACTAAAGCAGAAATCTTTCTTTCTGCTCAAAGCTAAGCAACAATACATCTTTGATCTGACTGTTCGATCTTTATAAGAAATAATCATCCAACTAGCTTAAAAACAGTGCTCTACAATCAATGCTACTATTACTTTTTTGAAAAAAATAAGTTATTAGTTAAAATAGGGATTATTTTACCTGAACCCGAGCAAGCAGATCAGCATTGCTTCAGCCCAAGTTGTTCTATAGACAATGAGAGCATTTGCTTATAAACCATGCCCTAGCAGTACTAAATGGCATAACCACATCCTTCTCAGTCTCTTTTTTTTTCCCCTTCATTTCAGAACACACTGTGTTTCTTTATTTAGGCAAGTGAAGGTGCAAGAGTGTAGATACTTGAATCCTCAGCTGTTTCCAGTCAGTAGTCAAGGTAGGGTGGGGAGCAGTTTGTCTCTGAAGCCAGAGTTGGTTTTGGACTGGACTTTACCTGGTGTGAAGCAGCTGGGAGCTTTTATGGGCTTG